AGCGTATTGGGGCATCTTCGGGGCCATCTTGCGGCGTCTTAGGCTATCTTGAGCCATCTTGGAAGCCATCTTGGACTATCCGAGGCGCTCATGGAGCCATCCTGGGCCATCTTGGACACTCTGACCACTCGCGACCGGGCCCGTCCAGGTCCAGGGGAGGGGGTTAGGGGGAGGGGTAAACCCTTCCCCGAAGGGGAAGAACGGAAGATGGAAGAGAAAACTCCCTAAACCACCTACGCCCAGAGGGCTGGTGGGATTTGAATCTGCGTGTGGCGTCACTGTGCAGGCCCTCCAGCAGGCCTCGAAAGTGGCGACAGTTTCACCGATCGCAGCCCCCCCAGGGATGGCGAGGTCTAATTTGAATCTGCGTGTGGCGTCACTGTGCTGGGCCCCCCAGCAGGCCTCGAACGTGGCGACAGTTTCACAGATCGCAGCCCCCCAGGGATGGCGAGCCCCCCAGCAGGCCTCGAAAGTGGCGACAGTTTCACAGATCGCAGCCTTCCAGGGACGGCGAGGTCTAATTTGAATCTGCGTGTGGCGTCACTGTGCTGGGCCCCCCAGCAGGCCTCGAAAGTGGCGACAGTTTCGCAGGTCGCAGCCCCCCAGCGACGGCGAGGTTTAATTTGAATCTGCGCGTGGCGTCACTGTGCTGGGCCCCCCAGCAGGCAGCGAAAGTGGCGACAGTTTCACAGATCGCAGCCCCCCAGGGATGGCGAGGTCTGATTTGAGTCTGCCCGTGGCGTCACTGTGCTGGGCCCCCCAGCAGGCCTTGAAAGTGGCGACAGTTTCGCAGATCGCAGCCCCCCAGGGATGGCGAGGTTTAATTTGAATCTGCGTGTGGCGTCACTGTGCTGGGCCCCCCAGCAGGCCTCGAAAGTGGCGACAGCTTCGCAGATCGCAGCCCCCCAGGGATGGCGAGGTCTAATTTAAAGGCTGCCGCCTCTGCCGCCGACCCCAGAGAAATTCAGGGAGGCTCATTTGCTTAGTGCGTTTGGTTGACCGCGTTTTGCTTTTCCGTATACGTGTTTCCGATAAGTCGGACGGCCATCCTGGAGGTTCGCGCTGCGATCTTCCTAGGGGGTTGATTCGAAAATAACATTTTTATAAAAAATCACTGAGCTGGGATTTGCTAGGTTTTCTTTAGTTATATATATAATTAGTTTGTCGTTAGAAACGAATACGACAGCAGTTTCCCTTAGGGGTATGATTAGACAATGACAGTTTTGGATTGGTTTTTAATCAGAATTCAATGGGAAATTTCCAAGAGCTTGGATCTGCCAGGTTGTCTTTGGTTTTGCAGTCGTTTTCGAATTTTAAACCAATGGGACAGCAGTTCCCCTTAGGGGTATGATTAGAGAATGTCAGTTTTTGATTGGCTTTGAATAAAAATCCAGTAGGGGGCCTCCCAGATCTGGGATTTGCCAGGTTTTCTCTGGCTTCGTATTCGATTTCATGCAAGACCAAAAGGAAAGCAAATTCCCCTAGGGGTATGATTTGAAAGTGTCAGTTTTTGAATTGTTTTTAATTAAAGTCAAATAGGGTGTCTCCCAGATCTGGTATTTGCCGGGTTTTCTTTGGTTGAGTATTCGTTTTTAAGTAAACGCCAATAGGACAGCAGTTTCCCCCAGGGGTAAGATTATAACATGTTAGGTTTTGATTGGGTTGTCGTGAACGTCCAATAGGGGATCTCCCAGATCTGGCAGTTGCCAGGTTTTCTTTGGTTCGTATTCGTTGCAAACGAAAGACCATTAATGAAGCAGTTTCCCATAGGGGCATGAGTAGAACATGTTAGTTTTTCATTTGTTTTAACTTAAGCTCCAAGAGGGGACCTCCCAGAGCTGGGATTCGCTAGGTTTTCTTTGGTTCAGTATTCGTTTTTCATTAAAGACCAATAGGAAAGCAGTTTTCCCCAAGGGTAGGATTAGAAAAAAAGGTCAGTTCTGTATTAGTTTTAAATTAAAATCCAATAGGGGATCTCCCAGATCTGGGATTTGCCAGATTTTCTTTGGTTGAGTATTTGTTTTTTACTTACAGACCAATAGGCACGCAGTTCCCCCAGGGGTCTGATTAGAAAATGACAGGTCTTGTTTGGCTTTTAATTAAAAAGCGAATCGGGGATCTCCCAGATCTGGGATTTGCCAAGTTTTCTGCGGCTTAGTATTCGTTTTTGAATAAAGACCATTCGGAAAGCAGTTTCCCCGAGGGGTACGGTTAGAACATGGCAGTTTTTGAGTGGCTTTGAATTTAGGGGATCCCCCAGATCTAGGCGTTGCCAGGTTTTCTTTGGTTTAGTATTCGCTTTGAATGAAAGACCAAACGGAACGCAGTTTCCCTTAGGGGTTTGCTTCGAAAATGTCAGTTTCTTTGATTGGATTTGAATTCAAATCTAATAAGGGGGTGTCTCCCAGATCAGGGACTCGTCAGGTTTTCTTTGGGTTCGTGTTCGTTTTTAATAAAAGGCCACTCGGAAAACAGTTTCCCTTAGGGGTATGAATCAAACATGTCAGTCTTTGCTTAGCTTTGAATTAAAATCAAATCGGGGATCTCCCAGATTTGGGATTTGCCAGGTTTTCTTTGGTTTAGCATTCGTTTTTAATTCAAGATTCGTAGGAAAGCAGTTTCTCCTAGGGGTACTATTAGAAAATAACGGTTTGTTATTTGCTTTGAATTAAAATCTAATAGGGGGTCTCCCAGATCTGGGATTTGCCAGGTCTTCTTTGGTTTAGTATTCGTTTGTAATGAAAGACCAATCGGAAAGCAGTTTCCCCTAGGGTATGATTCGAACATGTTAGTGTTTGAATTGTCTTGACTTAAAATCCAATAGGGGATCTCCCAGATCTGGGGTTTGCCAGGTTTCCTTTTAGTTTAGAATGCGTTTTTAATTCAAGGCCAATAGGAAGATTTTTGGGGCGAGAAATCGTGGGCTGGGGAGGCCCGAAAACTGAGGTTCTGGGCGGGGAGGATGCCGGGGCGCGGTGGGGGGTCAGGGTCGGTTTTGGGCGAGAAATCGCGGGTTGGGGGGCTCGAAGAATAGAGGTTCTGGGTGGGAAGGATGCCGGGGCGCGGTTGGGGAGGATGCCGGGGCGCGGTGGGGGTCAGGTTCGGTTTTGGGTGAGAAATCGTGGGTTGGGGAGCGCCCAGACCAAAGGTTCTGGGTGGGGAGGATGCCGGGGCGCGGTGGGCTTCAGTGTCGGTTTTGGGCGAGGAAGCGTAGGTTGGGGGGCCCCCAGAACAGAGGGTCCGGCTGGGGAGGATGCCGGGGCGCCGTGGGGGGTCAGGGTCGGGCATGGGCGAGAAATCGTAGGTTCGGGGGCTGCAAGAACAGAGGTTCTGGGTGGGGAGGATGCCGGGGCGCGGTGAGGGGTCAGGGTCGGTTTTGGGCGAGAAATCTTGGGTTGGGGGGCCCCGAGAACAGAGGTTCTGTGTGGGGAGGATGCTGGGGCGCGGTGGGGGGTCAGGGTTGGTCGCGGGCGAGAAATCGTGGTTTTGGGGGCCCGAAAACAGAGATTCTGGGCGGGGAGGATGCCGTTGCGCGGTGGGGGGTCAGGGTCGGTTTGGGGCGCGAAATCGCGGGCTGGGGTGTCCCAAGAACAGAGGTTCTGGGTGTGGAGGATGCCGGGGCGCGGTGGAGGGTGAAGGTTGGTTTTGGGCGAGGAATCGTCGGTTGGGGGGTCCCAAGAACAGAGGTTCTGGGTGAGGGGGATGCCGGGGCGCGGTGCGGGGTCAGGGCCGGTTTTGGGCGAGAAATCGTGGGTCGGGGGGTCCCGAGAATAGAGGTTCTGGGTTGGGAGGATGCCGGGTCGGTTTTGGGCGAGAAATCGTGGGTTAGAGGGTCCCAAAACAGAGGTTTTGGGTGGGAGGGATGCCGGGGCGCGGTGGGGGGTCAGGGTCGGTTTTGGGCGAGAAATCGTAGGTTGGGGGGTCCCAAGAACAGAGGTTCCGGGTGGGGAGGATGCCGGGGCGCGGTGGGCGGTCAGGGTCGTTTTTGGGCGAGGAATCGTGGGCTGGGAGGTCCCAGAACAGAAGTTCTGGGTGGGGAGGATGCCGGGGCGCGGTGGGGGGTCAGGGTCTGTTTTGGGCGAGAAATCGTGGGTTAGGGGGCCCAAGGACAGAGGTTCTGGGTGGGGGGAACGCCGGGGCGCGGTGGGGGGTCAGGGTCGGTTTTGGGCGAGAGACGGTGGGTTGGGGCCCCAAGAACAGAGGTTCTAGGTGGGGAGGATGCCAGGGCGCGGTGGGGGGTCAGGGTCGGTTTTGGGCGGGAAATCGTGGGTTGGGGTGACGCGGCGGCGCGCGCGGAGGAGGAAAGGAGAGGGGTCCCTTTACCTGCGCTCGGGACCGAAAGGGCTGCAGTTCAATGCAACATGCTTCTGATGCTACCCCTGCTACTGCTACCTGCTCCTACCTACTACCCCCTACAATTACACAGATCATGCTATGGGTCTCAACACCCCTCCACTCTGCCGAGACCTTGCTGTCTGGTCAGAGCCTGTACTTAGCATGACCTAGGCAAGAAGCGTCCTAAGAGTGCTCCCGGCCTCTCCGCGGAGTCAGGCTCCGCTGGGGTGGTCGGCTTTTGCAGGGCGGCTCCCGGAGCCGCGCTTCACTGTCAAGGTGGCGGATGCACGATCCGCTCAGTGCCAGTCCCTGCCCTTCCGGCTCGCTCAGTGTCAAGAGAGAGTTGATCAGACTCCAGCCTCCTGTAGACACCTCCTCATCTGTCAAGTCCATGAGCAGATGGCCCGCTAAATCCATAGACGGGGCTTCGTTTCAGTAACTGTGTACACAAGTCGTACTGTTTGTTTACTTACTGCGTACCCGTACCCCTTGCACGGACATACGGCGTGCTCACGGCACACTCCACCCGGCAGCTCCTAGCAGCCAGGCTTGCCAGCACCCGCTGGCGCAGCGCATGTATTGGGAGTCCATCACCATAGCCATGCGCGTTGGTATTGTGGGATTGTGGCAGGCTTCTGCTGCCTTCCCAGTCGCCGCGCTGCCGGCTAGGCGTGCGCAGCGTCCTCGCGTGCGGAGTCAAGCCCCGCTGTTGGTCGCGGACTCAGGGTCCACTGCTTGGTGTTGCTTGCGGACTCAGGGCCCACTACCTGCACGGGTTCAGCATCGCCAGAAACGACGCAACCCTGCCTGAGCTCAAGCCCTTCCTCCTTTCGCTCCTCAAGGGCTCGTTCCTCCTCAGTGGCATCATGTCCACTAGCTGCTGTAGCCGAGCCTGTGCATGTGCCTTCGTACCAAGGTCTGCCCAGTTAACCTCCGTGTCAACTTTCTTCAGGTTGCCGCGGTTGTCACGGAAGAATGACTGCAGCCAGAGGTCTTTCGCGGACAGGTGCCTCACCTTACCACTCCCTTGCCGGTTGCCGATTCCCCGCGCTGCTGACGAGTCGCTCAGCACATCTAGCTTGCACTCGCGGCCAACGAGAGATTCAATCACCTGGCTTGTCTGCACGCCCTGTGCTGCTCCTTTGATGATGGCATAGAACTCTGCCTCCCCGCTCGAGAGGGCCAGGAGAGACTGTTTCGATACGCTTACATCAATCAAATGCTTCCCGAAGCTCTCGACCACACAACTCATGCTCTTCCTCGTCTCTCGGTCTGCTGCCCAGTCTGAGTCGCAGTACTCCGTAAGAGATAAAGGCATGTTCTGGTAGTCGAAGAGCCACACTTCTCCTGGGTGGTCCAACAGGTACCGGCTGCAGCGTGCCAGCCTCATCTGGTGAATCTTGAGAGGCGCCGTCATCCCCTCCATGATCCCTGAGGCTGCAAACTTGACCGTGGGCGTGTCCTCTGCGAGGTACTGTAGCGTCCCCGCTCCTGTCCTGAAGAGCACCGCGTCGTCCCTCCCAAGGGGATCGTGGACGTCTCTGTCGCCCTTCCCGGTGTCTTTGGACGCTGGCGTGCTCACACCCTTGGACACTCCCGGTGTGAGGCCCTGGAGCTCGACGAGATCAAGGATGTGCTGCGGGTTGCACTCCCACTCAAAACCGGACGTGGTCCAGCGGATCGTCCTCTTCAGGTGGCTTCCGAACTCCGGGGGGCCAATTCGAGGCAAGATCTTCACTTCGAAGTGTTTGCGCATGATGTTGTCTACCTAACGAATCGCTCTCGCCTTCTGCAAGAACATCGTCGCCGTGACAACCCATGGACACATCCAGTGCTCTGTGAAAGAATGTCATGGGAACAACAACAACAAGTTCGAAACCTTCCGAAGTTAAAGCGTGGATCACGTACTGACCAAAGCGTTTCGAAGCTTCTCTCGTGCCATACATGGCTTTCAGCAACAACCACACGTATCCTTCTCTGCGGACGTCTGGTGGTGGGATGACTGCCGTCGTGCCGTCGCTGTCTGCGTGGAAGAAAGCAACCGAGACATCGTACCCAGCCACGAGCCTAGACCATGACCCGTCCGCCCTCTGCTTGGACGCGGCCAACGACACAATGATCCGGAAGACTTTCACCGGAGGTGTGCTTTGTGTCACGTCTTCGCGCGCATACGTGTTGACCTCTGTTGCTACCAGCCTGGCCCGTACCGCCTCCGGGTCTTCAGCTGTTGGTTTGGGTTCAAGCAGCCACTTCGAGTTGACAACTTTCAGTTTTCTTTCTCTGGCTGTGGACCATGGGATGTCCTCCTTCACCTTGTAGGCTTCTATTTGGGTCATCTCGCGGATCTTACCCTCTAGCACTTTCTGGGGGTCCAGTTTAATGCCTGCTTTCGTGGAGAAGAAATCTTTGTCCCACTCCATCTGTACAGGGCATACTTGTGGGTCGCTGCTGTCGGCATCAGGTGCCGCTGCCAGAAAACACACGCACGTCCCAAAAGCAGCTGCCACTACAGCTGGCTCGTGGAGAGTCGGCAGGCCGGCGACTAGCCGGGACCTCTTCGACTGGGAGTCCTCCTGTGGCTCCCCCTCCATTTCGACGTCGCGGGCATCCTCCTGACCTACGCGTGCTTCCCCCATCTGCACGTCTGGCGGTGCAGCCTGGTGTTGCCCCTCCACAGCTTGCTGGTGCTGTTGTTGTTGCTGTTGCTGGCTTGCGTGCGCACCGCCTGGCGGTGCAGCAGCAGGAGGCGGGTGTGCTTGAGCAGCGTGCGCTGCTGGCTGTGCGGCATCAGGTGCCGCTACACGTTGTACGGCATCAGGTGCCGCTGCTGGCTGCGCGGCATCAAGTGCCGCTGGTTGCGTTTCCTGTCTCCGTTTGGCGACGTCTTCCTTTTCAGCTCCTACGAGCTTGCCGAACCTCTCGCGGCACTCAGCTGTGTGCCTCGCCTCTCCTGGCGCACGACAGCCAGGGCAACCGGGTGTTTTGCCGAGGCGGATGATCCGGTCGAGGGTGATGTACACCTCACGGGGCTTGACCTCCTTGACTCCTGGGGGCACTGGGGCCCAAGGAGAGCCGACGAATCGGTCAAGCAGCTGCGCGTCCCACCTGTCCTTCTCTGGCCTCCTCCATATCGACCTGCACAACAGCACTCCCTTGGCAGTGCCAACCAGGTGCTCGTCTGATCGCATGGATTTCCCGAGCCAGACACCAAGATGCCAGCGGTCGTCCGCTTTGCCCACTTCGCTAAGAGGACTCTTGTGGTAGACGCACTCCCCGAACTCGACAATCTCGCCGTTGTATGGCTTGCCACGCAGGCGCTCGTAAGGCGTCTTGCCGTCTGCCTTGACGAGAAAACGGACGATGAGCCAACTCGAGTGTCTCACAAGCCAAGGCTGCACCTTGTGGCTGAGTGGGAACGCCTGCTTGTAGACGGACTCCAGCCTGTGCTTCACGGCCCTGTACTCCTTCTCAACCTCGTAATTGCTGCGCTCAATCAGCCCTGCGCTCTGACTACTGCCCTTCGGTGTGTTCACCTTCGTGACAGTATGTCCGGAAGGCCGGGTTTCCAGAAATTTGTCGCACAGCTTGTTGATAGCGCTCTCGCCATCACAACATGCAATCAAGTTTGTCCTGCCTGCGAAGCGCACTCCTTCGTGGGCGATTGCCAACGCATAGTCGTCGTCACCCTTTTGGTTGACCATGCCTGAAAACGGGGCGCCGGACTTCGCGTCCAGCACGTTCAACACAGCGTACATCTCCTTCTCCACCGCCTTCTGCGTGAGGAAAAGGTAATCCATGCACACTTTCGGCGTTGCTCCGTCGGGAGCCTGCTGGAGCTGCCGGTGGGGGTCTTCGGCGGCCTTGCCTGTGACGCAGCTTTCACACCACGACCTGAACGGCAGATGGGTTAGCTGGTGCGCGGCCCACTCCGCCTTGCTCACAGTTGGTGGTATGGCTTTTGCTCGCGGCGCCCGCGGCTCCTCCGAGTCTGACATCAGCGTAGGCGGCCGTTGGTCAGGCAGCGCGGGGTCTGGGTGCATAGCGCCGGACGCGCTCGAGGACGACCCTCCTTGTTGCACGTTCGGCCTCGGGGCCTCCCCTTGCGCTGCTGGTTGCATGGCATCAGGTGCCGCTGGTTGTTGTTCAGCCGGCGTGAACGTTTTCCTTGCTGCCTTCGCTGTACAGAGTGGCCTCGCCTCTTCCTGCCCTGTCGCCCCCCACACTTCCAGCCAGTACACCCCCCTATCCTTTACCATGTCCAATCCGCTCGATTGGCGCACGGCTTCCTTGAGGTGCTCGGCGTGGTCTGGCCCTATGATACGCTGTACCCCAGGGCCAAATACCAGCCAGTTGCCTTGCTCGGTCGACTCTGACGCCGAGACGCAGGAACCGTGACCTTGTCGCTGTCACTGTACCGCAAGACAACGCCACTGCCGTCGTTTGCCTGGAAGTGAGACCTCTTCCCGTCCGAAAGGTTCACTTCTTCCCCCGTCGCCGTCGTCAGCGTGGTTGGTTTGACAGAGCTGTCCGGCTCTGCCCGGGGGTCAAAACCAGCCGGACACACGGACCTGCCAGCACCTGTGTCGACCATGACTCTCTGAGGCATGGGGACCAGCATTTCGCCGGAGTCGCTCGGTGAGCATAATGGCATCAAGTACCCATGCTGCACCTCCTCCTGCCCGATCTGCATGAGACCAGCCACCGGTTGCGCCGTAGGTGGGGGTCCTGCACCGCCCAGCTGCGCGGCCTCAGGGGCCGCTGCCAGCCTAACCTGGTTGTCCCTCGCCTTCTTCCTGCACTCCGCGGCGATGTGCCCCTTCTTGTGGCAGTAGAAGCACTCCTTCTCCTTGTTGGCTTCCGCCTTTGCCTTGGCCTTCGGGGCTCCCTTGGCGTCCTTTCCTTTCCCTTTCCGTGGATCGCCTCCTTTTCCTTCCCCCTTCCTACCTTTACCTTCACCTTTACCCTTACCATCCCCCTTCTTGCCCTTTCCTCTTTGTGGTATGGCGCCTAGCTCCATAGGTTTGGGCTGGGAGTTCAGGTACTGCGTGGTTCGCGCCATGTCGAGCAGCTCCTCCTTCATGGCCTTCCAAGTTTCCAACCTGCTTGCGTTCTTCACAAGGTGTTGTTGGACGTCGGTGTCCTGCATGTTGACCACCACCAGGCCAATCTTAAGATCTTCGTCGAAGACCTTTTTTTCGACTGCTGCTCGTACTCGCAGATCAGATGTTCAAACTGATCTAAGCTCTGCGGGATGTCCCCGCTGAACTTCGCGGTGAGTATCTTGATCAGCAACCCGACCCGCCTCGTGCGGATCTTGGGGTCCCAGTCAAGGACCGACTGTCTCCATGCCTCCAGTCCCTCTCCGGAGGACACGGTGGACATTTTGTCCTGGGCTGCTGACCGGAACAGCATCACCATCAAGTAGCAAAGCTGCGAACTTAGTGACGCCTTCCACGGCTGGTCAAGGTCTACGTTCCTGAACACCACCTCCGAAGCCTCCGCTTCGTCCAACAACGCCGGGTACTTTGTATCTATCGTTGCTAAGTGCGCTCGAAAGATAAAAGCCCAGTCGCTCCATTTTGCGCGCTCCCCGTAGAACAGCTCTGGTTTGCCGATGAGGCGCGTGTCTACAGCAGGCTGAAGCTGCACGAGAGGCTGCGCTGGCTGCGCTGGCTGCGGCGCCGGCGCCGCCCTCAGCTGTTGAACAGTGGCAACGAGCTCACGGATCTGCTGGTCTTGCTGACGCAGCTGCTCCCGTATCTGATCTTCTACAGTCGCCATGGCGCCGCGTCCTGCCACCTGCACGATGGCCTGCTCCTCGAGCGAGAGCGGCGCCGCGCTGCGCGCTCCGGCGCTGCCGACGGTCGCGGCCTCTGCGGGGCCGCTGACGGTGCACGACGGCTTGTGTCAGCCGCTGTGGCACCCCGGCGCTCGGGACAGCTTGGCTGCCCTCGCTCGGCCGCCTCGCGCTGCCGCTGGGGCGCGACGGACGGCCTGGGGCGGCTTGGAGCAGCCGCTGAGCTCGCAGCGCCGCGCTGCGAGTGGCCCGGTGGCGCCCCGTCGGTGTCCTGGAGACGCTGCTCGCGCCAAGCCTTGCTGTCCTCTAGTTCAGCAAGCGCGCAGGAGATCACCTCCAGCTCCTCGAGCAAGCGGCTGAGCTCCCGCTGTTCGCGGTCGTCGGCCTCTCCGGCGCCCTGTCGCGCCTGTAGTTCTTGTCGCCTGTCCAGGAGCGGTCTGGCCTTCTCGAAAAGCTCGTCGCCGTCCAACAGCAGCAACTCGAGGGCGCGACTGTGGCTGACTCCATGGGAATCCAACAGTCCATGATCGATGTCGATGCCTCATCTCTACATCGCTCCACTGCTTCGCAAATCGATGCGTGCATGTATGTCTACCCGCTGCGCGCTACTTTCTTCATGGTGGACGCCTCGATGGTCGGCGGAGGGGGCCTCTTCGGGGCAGCGGTCGCGACCTTGGGAAGCGTGAGCTCGTCTCCAACGCTCAGAACCATGACGTTGGTGACTACGGGGATCTTGATATCGCACACTTTAGCGTTGCCCACACATACGGCCACCGAGTGCTTAGTGATGGCGCAATTCGGCTTCGACTCCGCGCTGTCCACGCGCCTGATCTTGAAAGCAAGGCTCGGCGCTTTAGCGCCGGGGTCCGAGAGGGCGGAGGGCCCCGCGATCCTCTCATCAGGGCTGGGCACATCGAAGTAGGGGCGATCGCTCTCGCCGCACTGCTTGATGGTCAGAGCCGTCGGCACGATGATCAACTTTTTCGCCTGGAACTTCTTCCTAGAGAAAATGCCCACGTTGGCTTTGCTGACTGCCATCAGATCGCCCCCATCGGCTTCGAATTTCGACGTCAGATATACCATGGCCATAGCAATTGCTGACTTGATGTTGATCGCGACGAGATCGGTAGATTTAGAAGCTGCGTCATCGGGCCACCCAGCGAGCAACTCTTTCGTGGCTCTCGTGCCGCAGTACTTCTCGATGAACTTTGGAATGGGGCACCGAATAACGATGCGGTGCAAGGAGCCATTCTGCATCACCTCCCGAATCCGAGCGCCATCCTCCGACACCGAAGCTATCTTCCACGTTTTCCCTTAGATCGAAGGTGCAAGGGCGCAACTCATGCACAGGGGGGCTAATACATGTAAGAGCTTATGTGGCGTAGAAGGGTGACGGGCCCAAGGTGGTTGAGGGAGTTTAGGGAAAACCATTGAAACTGGTAAACCACCCGTAGCTCGGCCGCGCCTTTGCACCTTCATCGTCCTTCTTCAGCTTGATGGTGTCATCAACCTTAAACCCTCTCTGCTCCAATATGCAGATGTTAGCGTTCGCCAGCTCCCCCGTGCTGGCGTCGTACTGCAGCATGCCACTGAAGAGGGTCTGCTTGACGGAGTCCCCATCGGCACCGCTGTCGTTCTGGGCCGACTGGCAGGTATACGGATTGTCGATCTCGATGGTACCATTTTGCTTTGCCTTCAATGCCTCGATGCACTCGTGAGCGACGCACTCGGTGTTTGCGCATCGTTCATCCACCTTTTTCCCTAACAACAACATTGCTATCAATTGGTCGGCCTTACCTATGATCGGAATGCGTTCAATCGCATCGATATCGATCTGCCTGGAAACGCTGAAGATGCCTCAGGGCCTTCTCTGCTGCCATCGCTTTAGACTTCGCCTCCGTGCTAGCGAAGAGGGGCACAATCTCTGAGCGGGTCGCAAACCTGCACATTCGACTCTGCACGGACTCGGGGGGGGCCGTTCACGTGAGCCTTGGCGACGGCCATTACCAGGTGGAGCATCATCTCCGTCGCCGCGAGCTTTGCCTTGCACGATGTCTCGAACGCGCACCCGCCCACCAGGCGCCCAGCGGGCGCGCACCTTGACCCGAACTGCACGAGGTCCTTGATGAACTGGCCCTGGGACCCCCCGCCATATTTCGCCACGAAGTCAGCGCGTGCGTCGATATCGCCAACGCACTTCGATTCCGATTTGCTCGCCTCGGTCTTCACCCTCGCCCAGTCGATTGCGGACCCGTCGCGCCCCTGCTCGGATGCAATGGCCTGGATGTGAAGCAAGAGCTCGAAATGCGTTTCTTCACTCTGCACCTGGCCCGTCGCCTGCTTTGCCGACTGGATCAAACCTGGAAGTTTTGGCCAGCGTTCCTCTGCCTCTTGTTTCACCATCAACCACCTCAACCCAGTGTCAAGTGCTTTTTTCCCATTGTTTATCTTTGCGTTGGATCTGCCCCGTGTTGATGCGACCGTCGATGTCGGACAACGTTTTCTCCTTCGTCCCAGCTCTCTCTAAGCAAGCCACCAGGAACGGATTCGCATGCCCAGAGCTCACGCTCCCTGCGATAATCGATTCGGGCGGGGATTTGCCAAACAGATTCGACGATCTCTGGAACTCCTGGGTATACTGTGCAATCGTGCCATTCTTATCTTCGATGCAAACTGAACCAGCCGTTGCCGCGAAACTAAATTTGTTCCTCACGATCTTGGCCCCCAGCCTGTGCACCTCGTAAGCCTTGGCGCCCAATCCATGCCTGTTTGAAGGGTGGATGCCTACTTGGCGAGGTTTTAGATACAGCCACACAGTCATACCAATAACAATGAACTTCTCGAGGGTCACGTCTACCATTCCGACAGGCCCATCTGCTGGCGACAGTGCTTCCTCGATGAGGCCGTCCAGGGCATCGACCCCGTCAGCGAACGACGCCATCGCGCGCTCGATATCGAGGGCGCTGGGAAATCGAGGTGCGACTCTCCTGGCGCCACGCGGCTGCGGGTCCGACTTCGACGGCAATCGAGTTCGATGGCATCGATTTCGACGGCAAGAGGAAGGGGTGGAGGAGGAGGAGGAGGAGAGGGAGGAGGAGAAGGGGGATGAGAAAGATACTGATAAGGAGAGGAGGGAGAAGAGAGGAGGGGGAGGAATAATGACTGGTACAAGGAGGGATAAGAAATGATAAGGGGAATGAGGAAGAGGAGGATGCCGACGACGAGGAAGAGGAGCTGGAGACGAGGAAAGAGGGAGGACGAGGGCGGTCGCGGTGGGAGGGGGCCGCGGTGTCTGGCACTTGTTGCACGGAGGGGCGGGCGGCGCGCGCGCGCGCCGCTCGCCGCTCCGACCGACCAGACCGATCCTCACCCACCCCGATATACCCCCACCCCCACAGCGATAATCGATGTCCTCTTCGATCATCGATGTCCTGCACCGCGGCGGGGCGAGGAGGGGGGGGAGGGGGGCGAGGCTCTCTAAGGCAAGAACAACCCGCGACCGTACGAGTTACCATCATCGTCGTCGTCATCATCACCATCATCACCGTCATCATCGTCGTCGTCATCATCATCATCGTCATCGTCATCATCGCCATCATCATCATCATCATCATCATCATCATCGTCATCATCATCATCATCATCATCATCATCTCTCTCTCTCTCTCTATCTCTCCCCCCCTCCCCTTTTCTTCTCACTGCAAGGGGCGCCCCGTCTTGCAATGGCTGCTCGCGCCGCTCGCAAGCGTGACAATATCGTTTCACGATCCGTTATTTTGTGGGGGCAAGGGTGGAACAGTTCACGAACGTAAAGTGCACGCGCCTTCAGCGCCTCCGCTCTGCGTTTCTTTTCTTTCCTGTCTGTATCGCGACAAGAAAGAAAAGTTGTAAGAAATTAAACGACCGCGAAAAATGACACATGTGTATACGCGCGGCGCGCCTCCTTCTTCTCTTCCTCTGACAGGAAGGACAGATGGGGTAACAAGTTCAATCGCGGGGTGCTCGTGCGACCCGTAGAACAGACAATTAGAAAGCAGGGGGACGCGCGCCGCGCCACTGCTGATAAGAGTATCGCAGGAGGCGCGCGTATGCATCGAGATCGATATCGACATCGACATATGATTGCGCATGTGCATACATGCGCATGTGTACGTGCGCGCGCGTTATCTACATCGCAATGCGTGAACACACCTTACACGCGCATATGTACAAAACGATGTGTATACGATAGTGAAAATATGTAAGCGTATGTGTGAAACGCTGTAGTAGCTGACTGAATCCCACGATGAATCCATAGAAAACCACATCGAGGATTTACTGTGGACATACTAACTCGGGGCTAATTCGATTTAATAAATCGAAATAGTTCGACTTAGTAAGTCGAGACAGTTCGACTTAGTAAGTCGGAGTAGTTCGACTTACTAAGTCGACAACTTCGAGTTAAAACTCGACTTATAAGTCGACTTATAAGTCGGCTGTCGACTTAGCTTTTAGGTTATAACTCAACTTATAAACTGACCTAAGTCGATCACCTAAGTCGGTTATGCTAAGTCGGCCTAAGTCGACTTATAACTCGACTTCGTAAGTCACCTAAGTCGATTAGTAACTCACGTCCTCAATTTATATCTAAGATATAATCCGCCGTTCATCAAAGCAAGAACCCCTGCTCTGGGGACCCCGCAACCTACGATTTCTCGCTCACAACCGACCCTGACCCCCCACCGCGCCCCGGCATCCCCCCCACCCAGACCTTCTCTTCTTGGGGCCCCCCAACCCACGATATCTCACCCAACACCGACCGTGACCCCCCACCGCGCCCCGGCATCTCCCCCACCCAGAACATTTGTTTTTGGGGCCCCCCAACCCACGATTGCCCGCCCAAAACCGACCCTGACCCCCCACCGCGCCCCGGCATCCTCCCCACCTAGAACCTCTGTTCTTGGGGCCCCCGAACCCACGATTTCTCGCCCAAAACCGTCCCTGACCCCCCACCGCGCCCCGGCGTCCTCCCCACCCAGAACCTCTGTTCTTGGGCCCCCTAACCCACGATTTCTCGCCCAAAACAAACCCTGACCCCCCACCGCGCCCCGGTGGGACCTCCCAACCCACGATTCCTCGCCCAAAAACGACCCTGACCGCCCACCGCGCCCCGGCATCCTCCCCACCCGGAACCCCTGTTCTTGTGACCCACCAACCCACGATTTCTCGCCAAAAACCAAACCTGACCCCCCACCGCGCCCCGGCATCCCTCCCACCCAGAACCTCTGTTTTGGGGCCACCCAACCGACGATTTCTCGCCCAAAACCGACCCGGCATCCTCCCAACCCAGAACCTCTATTCTCGGGACCCCCAACCCACGATTTTTCGCCCAACACCGACCCTGACCCCGCACCTTGCCCCGGCACCCCCCCCACCCAGAACCTCTGTTCTTGGGGCCCCCCAACCGACGATTCCTCGCCCAAAGCCGACCTTCACCCTCCTCCGCGCCCCGGCATCCTCCCCACCCAGAACCTCTGTTCTTGGGACACCCCAGCCCGCGATGTCGCGCCCAAAACCGACCCTGACCCCCACCGCGCCCCGGCATCCTCCCCGCCCAGAATCTCTGTTCTCGGGCCCCCAAACCCACGATTTCTCGCCCACGACCAACCCTGACCCCCCACCGCGCCCCAGCATCCTCCCCACACAGAACCTCTGTTCTCGGTGCCCCCCAATTACGCACTATTTCTCGTTCAAAACCGACCCTGACCCCTCACCGCGCCCTGGCATCCTCCCCACCCAGAACCTCTGTTCTTGCAGCCCCCGAACCCACGATTTCTCGCCCATGCCCGACCCTGACCCCCCACCGCGCCCCGGCATCCTCCCCACCCGGACCCTCTGTTCTGGGGACCCCCCAACCTACGCTTCCTCGCCCAAAACCGACACTGACCCCCCACCGCGCCCCGGCATCCCCCCCACCCAGAACCTCTTGTCTGGGCGCTCCCCAACCCGCGATTTCTCGCCCAAAACCGAACCTGACCCCCACCGCGCCCCGGCATCCTCCCTAACCGCGCCCCGGCATGAACCTCTATTCTTCGAGCCCCCCAACCCGCGATTTCTCGCCCGCAACCGACCCTGACCCCCCACCGCGCCCCGGTATCCTCCCCACCCAGAACCTCAATTCTTGGGCCTCCCCAGCCCACGATGTCTCGCCCAAAACCGAACCTGACTCCCCACCGCGCCCCGGCATCCTCGCCGCCCAGAACCTCTGTTCTTTGGACCCCCCAACCCACGATTTCTCCACCACCTCGCCCAAGACCGACCCTGACCCCCCACCGCGCCCCGGCATCGTCCCCACCCAGACCCTTTGTTTCCTGGGGCGCCCCAACCCACGATTTCTCGCTCAAAACCGACCCTGACACCCCGCCGCGCCACGGCATCCTCCCCACCCAGAACCCCTGCTCTTGGGACCCCCCAACCCACGATTTCTCGCCCAAAACCGACCCTGACCCCCCACCGCGCCCTGGCATCCTCCCCACACAGAACCACCTCTGTTCTTGGGGCCCCCCAACTCACGATTTCTCCCCCAAAACCAACCATGGCCCCCCACCGCGACCTGGCATCCCCCCGACCCAGAACCTCTTTTCGTCAGGCCCCCCAACCCACGATTCCTCGCCCATAACCGACCCTGACCCCGCACCGCGCCCAGGCATCCCCTCCACCCAGAACCCCTGCTCTGGGGACCCCCCACCCCACGATTTCTCGCTCAAAACCGACCCTGACCCTCCACCGCGCTCCGGCATCCCCCCCATCCGGAACCTCTGTTCTTGGGGCCCCAGAGGCGTGTGAGGGAGGGTGCGCGCTAGAGCCATTCATCGTGATCTTCTCCTTTCCACCATTTCTCGCCCAAAACCAACCGATACCCCCTACCACGCCCCGGCATCCGCACCTCATGGGGCCTCTGTTCTTGGGGCCCCCCACCCCCTTCATTGGTCGCCGAAAACCCACCGATGCCCCCCGCCACGCCCCAGCATCCGTATCCGACCGATACCCCCCACCACGCCCCGGCATCTCCGACCCATGGAGCCTCTGTTCTTGGGGCCCCCCGCCCCACCATATCTCGCCCAAATCCGACCGACACCCCCCGCCACGCCCCGGCATCCTCCCCACCCAGAACCACCTCTGTTCTTGGGACCCCCCAACTCGCCCAAAACCGACCATGACCCCGCACCGCGCCCCGGCATCCTCTCCACCCAGAACCTCTGTTCATGAGGCCCCCCAACCCACGATTCCTCGCCCATAACCGACCCTGACCCCGCACCGCGCCCCGGCATCCCCCCCACCAAGAACCCCTGCTCTGGGGGCCCCCCACCCCACGATTTCTCGCTCAAAACCGACCCTGACCCTCCACCGCGCTCCGGCATCCCCCCCATCCGGAACCTCTGTTCTTGGGGCCCCCCAACCCACGATATCTCGCCCAAAACCGACCGTGACCCCCCGCCGCGCCCCAGCATCCCCCCCACCCAGAACCTCTGTTTTTGGGACCCCCCATGTTGAGACCCATAGCATGATCTGTGTATTGTAGGGGGTAGTAGGTAGGAGCAGGTAGCAGTAGCAGGGGTAGCATCAGAAGCATGTTGCATTGAACTGCAGCCCTTTCGGTCCCGAGCGCAGGTAAAGGGACCCCTCTCCTTTCCTCCTCCGCGCGCGCCACCGCGTCATGGCAGCGGAGCGTGGCTGCTGAGAACGGCCCGCCAGGCCGCTTCCCCAGTGGGCCCTGAGCCCGCCCCCGGCGCGGGGACAGCACCAACCAGATCCAGGCCGCCTCCTGGGCCACCACCTCGGCGGACCGTCCGCCCTTCCCGCTCCCCCAGGGCCGCCCGGGGAGCACCCAGCCCGCCGGCGCAGGGCCGGCCGTCCGGAGGGCGCGAGAGCCTTCCACAGCCGGTCACGCTGAGACCAGCA